AAGAGAACATATAACTTAATAAGTTTAACATCTCATAATCTTCTGAGATCAGCTCCCTACTACCATTTTAAAGAGGCCCAATCCTCATCCTAACATTTTGCTTATCCATCATATACCTAAAGAATTCCTTATTGTTTGATTTAACTCTCTCAGCCAACCCTCTATCATATAGTTTTGCCCTTTTACCTTCCTATTTAACCAGCTCTCTTGATTTTCTATATACCAGGCCTCCAAGTCCTTATTTATTATTTCCAGTAAGTTTAAATTTCTTGAATTTATTATGTTTATCCCTAGTACTATAAGTAATATGATCTCTTCAACCTTTACTAAACCATACTGGCTTATTCCGCTCCATTGCATGTGTATATGTGGTTATGTAGAGAAAAAATACATTCTCTCTGCATCGAACGGATTTTTCAAAAACACATTTGTGCTATGTGAAACATAATCGAAGTTAAACAATACCTGTATTAATGTATACCATTTGCTTCATCGCGAACACCTAAAGCACGTGTTAATCACAAACTGATTGTGATTGGATGGTTTCAGTCATAAATACCATGACTTGCTTGATTACAAAAGGTTTTAAAAATTATGTCAAGTATATATAATATATAGGGATGAATTCAACAGTTGTATATCAATATCAAATTTATGACGTCAACTATTAGATTGTAATGTTCTTTTCTCGTCTGTTTATTGGACGCATCACAACGCTAGTACTCCTGATCAAACCTCCTAAACATTTCTTTTATTAGAGCGTTAATTTTCTCATATGGTTTACGAGGAAGGGAAGATAAATTTTGTAGGCTTACGGATACAGGTGGAATTTTGTAAATAGATTAAATTACGGTGAGAAACCCCCTAATTACTCTCTGTATTGCATTTTTTATATTAAATACGTGTTTTATTTTTCGCCACAGGACTTTAAATTTGTAATAGAATTTGAATTAAATTTAAATACAGTGTAAAAGTAAAACGGACCAGACTGAGCAGAGTCTAGGCTCCTGTACTTCACTGATTTGTTTATTCGTTTCTTGATGTACATTTTAATTTATAAGTGAGTCATAATGTATTGATAAAGTTTATCTACATGTAACTATAACAAATGATACTCGGGTATATTTGTCACTGTTTGTGGTATCGATATTACTATTAGGCAAATCTGGTCTATTTAATTTATGTTGCACTCAACGTCGTGGTTCCTTTTCCATATGGAAATTACTTTCCTTATGTATGGTATTGTTTGGTAAGTATTGTATTCTGTGAACTCTCTGTACCATTCAACTAGTTATACTATATATATAAATTACAGCGTTATTGTTTGGTTGTTCAACCAAGCCTTCACTATGCCAACTGTAGCTTTGCTCCAAATTTCTAATTTTTTAAGTACTAAGAAATTCAAGGGTTTAAAAATTAGAAAATTTTACTTGAACAGCACTAATACTAATAGCCAACCTACACTTTTGATGATTAAACTTTAGTTAACATGAGTTGTGTGAGGCAGGTAGGATACTATCCCCAAAAACACCATTTGGGAAATTCAGAGAATTTCCTTCTAAACTAAATACTTTCATATTTAAATATTAAAAATATTGTTTGGTAAGTACTGCATAAACTATTGGCTGTCTGCCATGTTAATTAATTAATTATTGTATTTACTGTTAAAGTTTATCAACAGAAGTATGGTGTTAGTTTCTTTTACAAGTGTGTGTATTACTAACTTTAGTTCATCCCTAGTGTGTTACTTATTTTCATTAAAATTGGTGTTGTTTTTCCATGTCTGCCCTACATCCTGAAGAAGATATCATTACTGAAGAATGGATTTTGAAATTAAAATAATTAAAGCATAAAATTACATAACAAAGTATTATATTGTAACTTAGATTATTGTATAATTCTGTGCTGTAAGACATGATAAACTATTGCCATATTGTTAAAATTTATGAATAATAGTAAGCTAACAGTTTATTTTAGTATTCTTATTACCTGCGGCTTAACTTTGGTGGTTTAATTTTAAGAATTATTTACATATGTGTAGCAAGACTGCCACTATCACAGGTTTTGTTATCCAACCTGTGGGATTCCACACATAATGTTTGAACAACTATTCCTACCCCGATTAATAAGGTTCAGCATGATTAACGTACATTTAACTTTATTTTAATATTTCACACAACTTTTATCAGCTAATTGATTGTTTATACTAAACTATTTCATACCTATAAAACTAAATTTTATTCATATGCAGCATAGTGACATTACTACTTATCTAATAAACAAATCTGTAAATCTAGGAACAATATAAAAGTGTCTGTGCCATCTGCCATAAGCTTCTTCTACATTTAATATTTGTGTAAAACATATTGAAAGATACTGCTCTTTAGCAAACTGTGTTCCAGGTCTCGTACTGCCCTAGCTTGGAACTACGTACTTCCAGCCCTGTGATAGTTTTATTGTCTTGAACTTTTTACATGTTCTACAGTAATTCCTGTACACTGAATCTGAAAATAATATGTACAAATTTTTCACAAAACATCATAACGCATTACATAAAAGAAAGACCACAACACGTAGTTTTGAGACTAAAAGACGTAGATTTAACAAATAAAATCAGGATGAATTAGGCTGCATATTCACTTAACATCAATGTTCTTCCTTTTTTTCTTCAGTTTCTTTGTATTTTTGTTAACAAAAATTAAAATGTTCATTGTGGTAAAAAAAATAATAATTTGATTTTTGTAAGAGTTTCTTTCTTCCCGATAGAAAAAAATTAATAATATAATCAAAATCTGCGTAGCTGAATTATGGAAAATCTGTTATTAAAACCAAAACAACTTTTATGAAGTTTAAATTCACAGGCCTGTGTTATTCACAGTCTTAGCCAGCTTGGTAGAATTGTGAAACAAACAATCCAAAACTACAACAGCATCAACCTCAGGCTGCAAAACATCACTGAAATGCTGCTGTAATGAGATATTTAATTACTTCCCTGTTAGTTGATAGCACACAAAAAATTAGGGTTACCAGGTTTTCACAGTGAAAAACTGGGACAGTTTGAGTTACAGTAACACTTCTTTTACATTTGCTAAATAATCTGATGTTCATTGCATCATGTTTTAAAACCATTATTAAAAGATTGTATAGTTCAACAAATAATAAATACAACTTAAATTATTTTGAACTTACTAAAAATATAATTGTTACTTCCTTGTTTTCATTTTTACGGCTGATGTGTCTTTAAACCATAATTTTAATGGTTGACCAGTGACATTTAAATTTAAGAAAATGTAGCAGAGAGTGAGGAAACATTATAGAGTGAGGCTGATGTATCTTTAAACCATAATTTCCATGGTTGACCAGTGACATTTAAGGTTAATAAAATGTAGCAGAGAGGGAGGAAACATTATAGAGTGAGGCTGATGTGTCTTTAAACCATAATTTCTATGGTTGACCAATGACATTTAATTTTAAGAAAATGTAGCAGAGAGCGAGGAAACATTATCGAGTGAGGCTGATGTGTCTTTAAACCATAATTTCCATGGTTGACCAATGACATTTAAGGTTAAGAAAATGCAGCAGAGAGGGAGGAAAGATTATTGAGTGATGTTTCGTTGGTAGATGATTCTCCAAGTGAAATTTGAAAGAGCTGTATATAATGACAAACTGTACATATCAAACTCGTATGTAGGTCCAGACAAATTGGAACTATTTCTGTTCATGGCACGAAAACAAGGCTAAAAACTGATATGATTTCAGTTTGGTAACTCTACATATTACTCATCTCAAAAATTGTTGCCTTCTATTTGCTGCATGTTTTATATCTTCCATCTAGCTAACACTGACAAAATCATTTATTTTAATTCATCATAATTCTAGCTACTAACTATTAATTTTACAATCTTTCATATGTTGCATGTTATTACCCTTGTAGATGAAATATTGTTTTTACATAAGAGCATAAATACATAAAAAAAGATAAACACTATAGTACATAAACATGAGGCAAACCTTTTGATCACCCTTGGTGAAATAATTGTTTTTAAATGCATATCAGAATGCTTTCTGTAATTTTTAGTTATGGTGTAAATTATACAAATAATCCGTAGTTTCCTATACAGTGTAATAAAGAAGTTAGCTATCTTGTATTGAATTCTGTACTTTATAAGTATCTCCAAGTGATATAATAGATTTTGCTCTTATAAATCTAAAATTTTAAAATTGTGACTTTTTTTTAAGTCTACATTCAATAACAAACTTTTTTCTTGAGGAAGAAACTTGAAAGTAAATTTTTTAAATATGCATGTGTGTGTGTGTGTGTGTGTGTGTACATGTATATATATATTTTGAAATAACATGAGCCACCAAATTATACTACAGTTTAATAGTATTAGAGGATTGGGGGGGGGGGACTTGCAATTATGTAATAATTTCCAAGAGAAGAATTACTGAAATTACAATTAAAGACAAATAGTCTTAATTGTGAATGACAGGCAAATCATAGAAAACCTGTATCTCCACTCCGTCTTAGATGATCATTTGGGTATCCTCATTCTTAATGGTGTTTTCAGCCTTTATTCCAAAAACACCTCATAAAGTTTGGGCCTGCTTAGTGAATTACTGAGTACCAACACAGAACTGGCACATATAAAGCTTCATGTACTGTACCTACTTTTGGCTAATGTAGTTATCACTATTTAACTAATTAAATGTTATGTATTAAATCTAGCTGATACAGTAACTAACTAAAATATATGTTGAATTAATTAAACTTAGTGCTTTAATTTACATAAACACATGTAGCAAGTTTCTGCCTATGTTTATATGACCTCTCGTGCTGTTGGACGAGTGCTACTTGTTTCAATCTGCTAGCTTATGTAAGGTGACCTTTCTAAAATAAATCTGTCCAATGGCCAGACTTCAAAGGAGTCTTATTAGGAGAACAAATAAAAGATGACCAGTTCTTAGAAGTGAAAAGACAATTTAAAAAGTTAGCATGAAACTTGAAGAAAGCTAGATATGACATATATATATATATGTAGTTTTAAATCTGTGAAGTGATTAATGTTTAGACTTATGTTGGTATTTATGATGTTAAGATGAAGAAAATTATTCATATCTTATAGAGACTGTGTTAATTGTGTGATCAATACTGAGTTAAAGAACACACCACGATAAGAGATTGACCCAGCATCACTTTTGGTGGAGTTGAATAAAATTGAAAGGGTAAATGCGTAGGTGTGTGTTGGAGTATATGATTTGTATGATTCTAAGAAAGTATATGTGCATCACAAGTTTTCAAGAATGCTACATCTTTTATTCATCACATTTACTTGTGATACCTTGTCAGTGAATACACTTTTAAGGTAAATGATTCTATCAGACAATAAAATAAATGTTTTTTGGACATTAATATTCATTTGTTTTGTTAGAAATGTTGCAAATATATTAATTACAATTGCAAATATACAAACCAATACAGAGGTTGTGGCTGAGAATAAAAAGCCACTTGGTTTATTGAAAATAAAAGATAATATAAAAATTAAATCCATAATAAAATAATACCTATAGCATGGAGTAACTAATTGTAAAAGGTAAGCAACAACAGTGTACACATAAACTAAGTTTGTACATGAGTAACCAGTGGGAAGCATGTACTCTAGTGCTAGGTAAAGAAGGTTAGTTAGTATACAACATCATTTTATATGTTTCTACAGATGTATAAAACTGGAACCAACTGCATCTTATTCACTAATGTGGTGGTCATATCCCAGCCAGCCTCATAAGCTCTGATATTAGAGAAAAGCCTTGTAGGCACGGATGTATTAGGTATAATAAGGATGACATATTTTGTACATTCTTCTTTACTTTCATTCATAAATTTTTGGAATTAGTAAGTTAAACTATTGACATTATAAAACAGAAATGCATGGTGTTTTAGTTGTACCTGTTAAACCTATTATGAATACATGAAGTGCTTCTAAAAAATTATTTACCCTTTCTATAACATAAGAACCAGGTGTTCTTATGTTTGCAGTATACTTTTACTAATATATGTTCTGCATGTGGTTAATGACATTTTTCTTAATCAGATGTCAGAAAGGTCATAAACGTATACTAATTGTTTTGTGTAGGTAAAGGTTACATATACCAATGGTTATCTCATAGAAGCTTGTACCAGTTTGAACCTGTGTCTGTATCAACCCTGTCAAATAGAATAAGACCATCTCAAGGGGTGAAATAGATACTTGTACATGTTGGTATGAGTTTGTGACTCTCTCCATTATTTATTTTAATAACTGTTGACATAGGTAATCTGAGGATTATAAGATAACAAAATTGGGCCTTTCACAGAATTTAAAGTGAAGTACAACATTAGTTTTTATCTTGTTCTTTGCAGACATGTTTTAAAAACTTCTATTCTAGCAGATATTGAGAGGTCATAATAAAAAAGGGAATTAGCCAGTTTGGTGTCAGATGGAAATGTTATTTTAAGTAACAGTTTGGTTTATTTTTTGTTGTCCATATCCAATTTAATTTCTACAAAGCATTTTCTGATCTTGCCTTTTTGTGGAAACTTTTGGCTACCTGTTAGATCAGTGTGCCTGAATACCATAAGTTCCTGACCTACTAATAACACCTTGTGTGACTTGTAGCCTCTGTACCACAATGGGGAAATGTCTGAATTGGGTCCTGGCATGTTTTACCATTACTCTGGACCTCTCTACATGGTATATAAATGTAGTACACTTTTTTTCCCATAAATTTATTTTACTGTGTATTTGTAGATAGTTTAATAGAGTAAAGTACTTTGATAACTATCACTTAATCTACTACAAATGAATACAGAAACATTCATATGCTTGCTAAGAGGCTGATAGTGTTTATAAAGTTGTATTTTGCTGTATTTTAATTTCTTGTTATGAAATATGAACAAGTTAGTACTCTCTAGTTTAATTTCACTCGATACTCTTGTTTATGTATATATATTTAGATAGTTGAAAAGAGAAGAAAAACATGGTTGGAATATTTGGAAGACAATTATTTTTTGGAATTGCGGGAAGTGGTGTGTCTGCAGGGTTTCTTTGGGGGATTTTTGAAGAGAAACAGCAAGCCAATACATTGTTAAAAAATAATCCAGATTTATTTGTTAAGTGGGATTTCAACTGGGACAGGTTAGTTTGTTATTCTCTTGTATTTATTTTTAATGAAATATTACATAAAAGATTTGGAAAGGAAGTATTTCGTTTTGTTAATTTTTAAAGGAAAAATTGAGTTTGTGTGTAAATGATCATCATGTAATAATAAAACAATGTTTCATAAATAAATCTAAAAATGAGACTTGTTTCTGCTACTAATTGTATAATTTTACATTTGTTAAATTGTTTTTAAACTTTCTTGTAGCACTAAAAATAAATATGTAAAACAGAATTTTTAACAAAATCTTGTTGGATCATTGTTGTTAATGTTCTATGTTATGTTTGCTATGAAAACTGATAAAGTTTATTCAACTTTTCTGTGTCTCAAGACTTCTGAAATTTATATGTGTCTGAGGTCTCATTTATTGAAAATATTTGTTTATTATAGGTGAGTTTCATAATTCCAATATTGTATCTTACCTCCTCTCACATAATGGTTTCCCTTGTTCAGTGCTGTCCTCTATATGTGCACATTTTTTCACTTCCTAATAGCCTTGAAACTCCCACCTACCCCACATTCAATGTAGTTCTACTGCATCTTCGCATGCAAGTAAGCATGCAGCAACCTTCCACCAATAGTAGTGCAGGTTACTCACCCTAACCTTTACTTCTCACTTAGGCACTATCGTATTCAGACGTTGTTGAATTTTTTTTTTTCACATTTGTACTAGCTTAATTTGTGTTCTTTCTCAACATAGTAATTTGAAATAGTTCAGCATTTCAATTACAACTTGAGTTGGAGTAAACTTAACTATTTAATTTGGTGAATTGATCTCAGTTGAACCATGAATTCGGAACATTGTGTTCCGATTACTACTAGCTTGACTACTACTACTTCAAATGTCACTTCTCAGGCTTTAGGTTCTACATCTTCAGCTGAGGAGGTCTCAGTCTTAGTTTGATGGATTCTTGAACACTACATGAGATGACTGGCTTTGCCCGAACCTGGACAAGATCTTCCCTTTCCAGAAGAACCTGGTCTAGATGATTTGGAGAGCCTTTTCCTTCTCGCTCCAATGTCATGCAATCTCATACATTACCTGTGGAAGCAGCCAGGCCTCTCTCAGGTTTTTTGGACATGATTTCACAGGTACATTCCATGTCACATATGACCCTACACCTTCCCTTCAACACACCACTCCTGCATTGGAATACATCATTTTCCCCCTCTCCAGATATCAGTTTACATGCTGATGCATCCAAGCTTAGTTATTTGCTGGTTCTACCATGCCTCTTTCCCCACAAGCTTTGGTTCTTTTTGCTTAGGATTATCACCAAGCAGATTTTCCTCTTATAGGAACTCCAACCTCTGGAGTCTTTAATGCAATTGTTGTGGGCCAATCCTGAATTGCTGGTTAGGTTTTTCCAGACTCTGGTTTACCCTAATCTCTCTCCTTTGGTACCTGTCTACCATCCACCTCTCACTGAGGCTCTCCATCGATCTCCTGAGGGGTTTTTGGTGGACACTCATACCTTCATATTCTCCACAGTGGCGTATATTTTTCCTCCTCAGGCCTCTCTCTCCAAACATGGCTCCTCTGCTGCTGAGATCTTCCAATTAGGAACACACTTTTGCCTCATGTGTGCTTACCCACACAACCTTTGAGTGACACCATTTTTAAGCAGATATGTTTTTTGTGATGTCTCTGGATCATGGATGAAGTCTGCACAACATCATTCTTCCATTTCTTCCTTGGTTGTCTCAGACTTCACCTGCCCCTGTTCCTATTATCATTTCCTGACCCACAACTTCCCAGCCTTTACCCATTCCTCTCTCCAGGGTTTCCACAGTGAGCCCTCCTATCTCTCACTGCATGAATACATGCCACCAATGGTGCCAGTGAATGCCTGTCAATATTTTTTCACTTAAGGAGGGTGGGAGTTCACTTCTGATCCTTGGGTTCTTCAGGTGCTTTCTGAAGGACTCTTCATCCACTTCCTTTCCAACTCCCTCCATTGTCAATAGGTCCTGTGTACTTTCCCCCTTCTTTGGATCCCACAAACTGCCAGAGACTCCCCAAAGCAGTTCAGACACTTTCTCAAGGACGCTATAGAACAGTCAGTCGTACCTCTCCATTATCCTACTCCTGGTTGTTTGTAGTTCCCAAAAAGACTGGGGACTGGCATCCTGTGATAAATTTCTGTCAGCTCAACCATTTCATAAGTCTTCCTCAATTTACCATGGAGTCTTTTTCTCACTCTGTGGTGGTTCTATGGATAACTAAGGTACACGTCTCGGACACATACCTCCACATCCCCGTTGACCCACGGTCCAGTTGGTATCTTTGATTCTTTCACAGGGGTCAGGTTTATCAGTTTTGCATGTTGGGCTGGTAATGGCACCTTATGTATTTTGTTGAGTAGTCGGGGCTTTTGCTCAACTACTCCATGCTCAGGGATTGTGCTTCCATCATTATATTGATGACTGGCTGCTGCTGGCTCCATCAGAACCTGTAACACACAAACACACAAAGTTGCTTCTAGAGAAGCAGATCGTGTTCATTGTATCATTAAAGTGGAGAAGTCCTTCCTTGTACCAACCCAATATCTCGTCCAATTGGGTGTACTTTTCAACTCGTACCTCAGTTGGGCCCAGTAGAATATACATTATTCTCTAGTTGTTTGCATGAAGCAGGTATTATGTTTGTTTATATATATATATGTTGTTTTTTTATTTTATTTACTAAAGTCTAGTTATTTCTGTTGCACATACGTAGGAGGGATCCACATAGTTTGGTGAAACCACCAAAGAATGGGGACCCTTTGGAACAAAACAGGTATAATGACCAGCTAGTAAAAGCTACACCTAAAGCATCAAGACATCTGATATTGATACGACATGGGCAGTATGTTATGGCCAGTGAAGATTATGAAAGGAAGCTCACAGAGTTAGGTATTTTTTGAATTCACTGTACTGAAATGAATAATATGTCTTTTCAGATAACTCTTTTTTTTCAACTTATTTTTATTTTTCGTCAAAATATTTTTAACATACACATATGCCACTATGTTTAAACTTTTATTGCAGAATTGATTTTTGAACTATAGTGAGATTCTGAAATTTAGCGTAAAGACATGCTGTAGTAGTTGCTATTTTGGTTTTACACTTCTAAAACTATACTTTTTATACCAGCAGTTTTAGCTGCCACGGTTTCACTGCAGAATACTATTTTCATGACTAATTGAGATAATTGTTTAAAAATACATTAATTTAAACTTTAATTTCAGGATTTACATTTAAAGCTTGTGGAAGTAGAATTTTTTTGTTTACAGTATTTGCAATACCATTTTCAGCTAGTCAGGTTAAGGTGACGAAGTTTGGGTAAAATTGAATAAACGTAGCAAATTAACAGAAATAATTTTATGTTTTTGTGATTAAGAATGTAAATGATAAAGTAATGAATTATTTTTGTAGTTGAAGGCACTTCAATGATCAAGACTTCACAAATGATTTGAAGTCGAGAATTATGTTATTTGGATATGACATTGATTGTGTCCGTATTCGGCATACCAGTAATGAAATTAGCTCAGATGTGCTTCCAATACAAAGAAAATAGTTACCGCTTTTTTTTATGTGAAGTTAATAAGAGCATTCTACCTATGACTACAAGATTACCTGTTAGACCCTTAATATTATGAGATATTTAGGGTTAGTATAGAATTAATTTTATCATCTTCATTATTATTATTTATTTAGATAACATCCATAAATTATGTTTAAAAACAGTAACAGGACTTGGTCTGTAGTTAAGTGTAAAGTTTTATATTGTTATATTGCAGTACAGTTCTTTGTGGCAGTAATGAAGCTTACAAGAAATGGAATAATATTTATTACTTTCCTGAAAGGAGAGTATGTTGGTGATCTGAATTTTGCAACCTGCTATATTTCTGTGCTGTGAAAGATCATCTTTGCTCATTGTTTTATGTACAGTTGACTTTGGTCGTAAGTGCAATAAGAATACTTGGGGTGTTGTAGTAAATTGTTAAAAATTAGACTTTTTCATCTCCAGGCAAAGAACAGGCAGACATAGTAGGGAAACGGATCAAAAATCTAGGTTTCCCATTTACCCGGATTATCCAGTCTTCCATGCTGAGAGCATTAGAGACATCGGAACTGATTCAGAAACATGTACAAGGAGTGAGAGTAGAAACATGTGACTTTATACGTGAAGGAGCTCCGATCCCTCCAGAACCTCCAGTTGGCCACTGGAGACCTGAAGCTCAGGTAAGAACATCAAACATGTCATTCTACACTTTACTTATTCTAATAATAAATAGATTTTAACTACCTGAAAGGAAATACATTTTTATTAACCCTACCGAGACAGGTCTGAATGTATGTCAATAAGTTTGGGTATCAAATTGTAGATAATAATTTAAATTTGAGTATTATACATTAGTTAATTTCTTAATTTAAAAGTAAATATAAAAAAAAAAACCCTAAATATTGATTTTTGTGTCTCACGTGGTATGTTGAATGCAGCATTGGTTCAGATTAGATGTTTATTATGTCCAAATACAAAGTCTGTAGTTTCTTACAAATTAAGAAATCAAATTCCTGATATTGACAAGCTAAAATGTAAAATAAGAACCTCCTATTTCTTCTGTTTGCTGATTTATCACGACATTTAGTGATTCAAATACAGTGGCCCTGCCCACCTCTTTTTATTTTTGAAAAATGAAAATACTTGCTAACGTACACCTACTTCTGTCTGTGACGTGTGAATAACTTTTAAGATTTCTCATTTACTCAGATTGTTCAGTCTTTCATGCTATAAGCATTAGGGACTGAAACTGATTCAAAAAATGCCTATAAGAAGTGAGAGTAGAAACGTGCGGTTTCATATGCGAAGGAGCTCCGATCCCTCCAGAACCCCTTTAACTACGATTTGTCCAGTCTTTTCAAAATAAATACAGTTTAAGAGCTTGTACAGTGGAAAGTTGTGCAATTTCATTGTCATAGAGTAGCCTACTTCTCCTGGTTAGTACTGAGGTGAAGTGAATATGTGTTTTAGGTCATTATAATTTTTTGCAATAGTTATTAGAAAATATTAATAATGATGATGAGCAGGTTTAAGCCTTTTTGTTTTTTTTTTGCTGTAAGAAGCACAAAAATTAATTGTAAAAATAAAGAAACATAATTTGAGGTTTAATTCTAAACAACTTGACTATAGAGTAGTCAGGTTTGTATTTCTTGAAGTTAATCAAAATTAAATTAATTTTAAAAGACGATGTTGATGTTAGTTAAGTTACCATTGGTGAGCAACACTAGAAGCTTAGAACATTATATATGTGTAAAAATACAATTAAAAGATGCTCTTGATTCACAACTACTCATTGAAAACCCACCTAGTGTTGACATTATATGACATCTAGCTATGAGACTGATCTTATCTTGGTCAGATAAGGGTTGACACTATAAGACATCTTGCTATGAGACTGATCTTGTCATGGTCAGATAAGGGTTGACACTATATGACATCTAGCGATGAGACTGATCTTGTCATGGTCAGATAATGGTCGACACTATATGACATCTTGCTATGAGACTGATCTTGTCATGGTCAGATAATGGTTGACACTATATGACATCTTGCTATGAGACTGATCTTGTCTTGGCCAAGCAATGGTGGACACTATAAGACATCTTGCTATGAGACTGATCTTGTCATGGTCAGATAAGGGTTGACACTATATGACATCTTGCTATGAGACTGATCTTGTCATGGTCAGATAAGGGTTGACACTATTAGACATCTTGCTATGAAACTGATCTTGTCTTGATCAGTTTAAGGTTGACACTACACAATGTCTTACTATGAGACTGATCTTGTTTTGGTCAGATAAAGGTTGACACTACACAATGTCTTACTATGAGACTGATCTTGTTTTGGTCAGATAAAAGTTGACACTGTGTGACCTCTTGCTATTACAGCTGTGTTGAGTTGAACAGGATGTTGAGTTTTGGCTGTGCAAATCACTTGTTCAGAACCTGAGATATCTGTATACTTATCACTGGTAAAATAAATATATTAAAGCTTAATGCACACTTTTCCTTCTGTTAATTAATCAACACTTACTAACTCGCAAACATACATTCAGTATTGGAAATAATTTTGGAAACAATGAATAAAAACTGCAATTATAATGGGGTTCTTCTCCTCTATTGTATGAAAACCAACCACACCAGAGTACAATCATGTGTTGATAGTTTACCATGGAAGAGCAGGTAATGCTCCAGTCTTCTGTCAAGAAGACATGGGATCGAATCTTGGCCACCACACTAAACACACCCAAACCCTTCTCAGAACTTCCCTAAAGAAGGCAGAAAATTAGCAGCTGTAATGTAGGGTAAAAATAAACAATAAAAATGTTACTATTTAATAAGTAAACTTAGGTGATCATATAGGCTACAATGGTAGTTTGTTCAGTTGCAGAAAGGATAACAGTATCATGATCAACACACCACATGGATGGGCAGGGATTCATCTTCCAGCAAGATAATGATCCCTGTTAGATGTGGATCAAATGTGGTGAAATCATTCCTGAAAGTAAAAAGTGGCCAACAGAAAACTCACAGTCATGTTTTAACTACACCTAGTCCAAATATGAATATTATTATGCTTTGAGGCCTTATATGGTAACTGAGAAGATCAAGTCACAACCCAACACTTTGGTCAAATTGTGAAGAGTAAATCAGGACATTTGGAACAATATTTCACAATTGTACATTAATAAACTCATTGTAGCTTAAACACAAGGTGTTTGATCATTTTCAAGTAAATACAAAATACTAGTGCAGTGTACAACTGCTGAAGGTATATCAACTGTGTGTTTTCGTAATTGTTTCCAGTACTCTGTGTGTGTGTATATATATATGTATATATATATATATATATATAGATAGATAGATAGATAGATACACACATTCGCATAGTTTGGCTATTTTTTTTACATACATAAAAATAAAATACCTAAGCTCTGTCATGGGGGTTCAAAAATCCATTCCTGATTCACAGAAGCCTCAATATACCAATAAAGCTCCTCCATTATCCCCAATTAGATATACAAAAATCTCATTATGACAGCTTCCCGGGGTACCTGAGCATGTGTGCCAAGTTTGGTGTTGCTAGCTTTTAAGTGTAATTATTAACACATTTTCAAACATGGTCCCAGAGGAGTCCAGACACATGAAATCTGAAGCCAGATTCAGGCTCAGTGACCCCGAAAACCTACTCTAAGACTCCAATCATGCCTACGTCATATAGGTAAGTACATCCTCTGGGCTATCTTTAGTCAAACTGCAAAGTTTGGTCCTGGTAGTTTCGAAACTGTGGAAGGAGACTGCAGACAAACAAATATGTTCTCACACAACATGAATTAAGATAGGATGCCACGGTGTCTAGCAGTAAACAATATTTTGTTTTCCAGAACTATTTACTGATTATATTGGTTCCTTTCATTCAGAATGTCATGATGAAATGAAAAAATATGATATGGTAACATTTAGAATTATTTGTGATGGTTATTTTATCCATAGCTACATGTAAGTACACTTCTTTCCTCAGTGTCAACAAATATTTATGTGTTTATATGTAACTTCACCTTTAAAAATGTTCCCTTCTTTAACAGCAGTTTTATCAAGATGGTGCAAGGATTGAAGCAGCTTTCAGAAAGTATTTCCACAGGGCATCACCTGATCAAGAGAAAGACAGCTATGACGTATTAGTATGTCATGCAAATGTAATTCGCTATTTTGTGTGCAGGTGAGAAAATGCTTTAATGGTGAGTTTGTTTTTTAACCTTAGTTCACGACTTATATAAGATGTGAAAATCATGTTTTGTAAAAAAAAATTCCAAGGGGTTAAAAACCTGGATGGAGTCCCTAAAACCATGAAGCAGGAGGTATTGTGACAAATAATTATTTTGAAGAATAAACATAGGGACTTTAATTAAAGTTATTTGAGTATATTTACTGTATATAAAAGTATAATCTTTGCCTGCTCTTTAAACTGGCAAGCAAAAAAAATAAATAAATGAAATAACCCAAAAGGCAAGGCAACAGGACTGTAGAAGTATTGGACCAGACAAATGACAGATAATGAAGGATAAATAAGAACTTGGTACTTGCCTTCAAAACAAATGTTTTAAGGATACGAGAAAAAAAGGCTAGAGAAAATGCTACAAATTTCAGTTGGAGTGCCAGGCATTAACCAAACACCTGATTCAAATTTAAAAGTTGAGAACTGATTTTTTCTTTCTGAAGTTTAAAAAAAAATTCACAGAAGAAGCAAGAAGACAACAATGACTTTAAGAAATGTATAGTAAAAATAGAAATAAGGGGATGTAGCAGGAAAACGTTATGATTGAGTAACTGGAGAATAGGACAGAAGTTCATCTTAAATTCAGTTGGTGAGTGTTAATTCAGAAAAGGCCTGGCATGATCTGGAGTTTGGGTTGCTCGACTCGTGACCTGTACGTTGAGAGATGGAATTCCATCACCAAATATGCTCAACCTTTCAGCCATGTGAGTATTATAAGTAATGGTCACTCCCACCATTCATTGATGAAGAGTAGTCAAGAGTTGGTTGTGGGTGGTGTTGAATAGCTGCTTTACGTCTAATCTATCAAAATTAGGGATGGCTATTGCAGGTAGCCCTCGAGTATCTTTGCGCAAAATTCTGAAAAACGAATAAGAATTCAGAAAATACCTAAAATTGCAAAATATTCAAATGAGATAGGTTGAGATGTGCTAAGAAATTAATCTCGTTTGTGATATAATAACAAATCTATGTTGAACTTAAAACTACGGTTTTTCATTTCAAAGTAACTTTATAAATATAGGTCTAGTCGAAATAGTTTCTCACATTAAGTTTGGTGACTATTTACATTTGGAGAATTCTGTTTCAAAATAGCTCCAGAAATGTATAGTTTATCAAGTTCAATAAAGTAGTAGTTTCGTATGGTGTTTCTCACACCTCCAAATTCTGTTGGAGGTGAGTATCCGGGAGTAGGACTGACATCCTAGTTCGGACACCGGGTGAGTATGTTTCGGCGTGACGGGGATTCGAACCCGCAACACTCCAATTGCGATCCGAGTGCCCTAACCATCTGGCCATGCCGGGCCAAGTTCAATAAAGTGATACAGCTATAACCTTACATTGCTATATATTTGGGCTTGCATAGAATTAACATCAACACAATAGTAGTAAATTAAATTTCATACTTATGACATTTTTTAGTTCAATAAAAGAAGGAAATTCAGTGATTCTAAAGAAATTCCAAAGCCATACTGAAATAAAGGTGAAGATCTGAAACACAAATCAGATTGAAAATGTTATATAACTTTTTCTTGGCATCATCTTACTGTGCTATATTCAAAAACACTAATTTATATTGGGGTGAGGGAGGTTCAGTACCATGTACTTTAAACACCCAATAACACCAAAGTTAATTGCTCTAAACATCAAAGTATCTTAACATGTTAAAAAAGCCTTAGACACACCACCGATAATTTTGTTCACTGGCTAACTTCAAGATAAGTTAAGAATGCTAAGATTTTTTTGTTTAAATACTTAAGATTGAATAAGTATTTTAAATGGTTTATCACACGTTAAATGAAATATCTAAAGTAGAGTTTAAACTGCATCATTTCACTGTGGTCTCATAATATAATCTCTATAATATATTAGGAATTTTATTTTTATTGGGAAAAATGTAGAAAACACATAGATAAAAGTTAGAATGACATATGATATTATTGTGTTGTTACGAGAAATTCACACCATTTGCGATAAAAATTTTTTTTTATGTTTGTGTACACAAGTGAATACAAAAATTATTGTGCTCGGAAAGGTTTTTGCCATAGAATTCTTTTTGTAATTACATTGTTATTTTAAAGATGTACAACTCTCTACTTGTGTTTCGTACTCCACGAATTTCATCAATTATTATAACTTTTAAGATGATGTTTTCTCAAAACATCTTTAACGATGCTCATATTTCCCATTCTTTCACAATACTCATGAAATTACTCAGTTTTATTTCTATATAAATAAAAATATTTTACAGAATAACTTCTCTAATTCTGATCTTAGTTGTTTTTTGTTTTTTTTATAAGTTGTGTTATTAAAAACAGATATAACTTGTAACCAAAAAACATTCAGACCAAAATACTAAATTTTAATGGAAGTAAGAAAGCTTCAGTATGGATAAAAGCATTCTCTATATTAAATTCTTTATTTTCAGAATTACTCTCATTTTTACTTCTTCAGTTTACCCCTCGTAAAAGAAAGGTCCATCTTTCGAAAGCATTCGGATTATAGGGTTTTTATCATTTTATATTAAGACTTCTTGAAAATAGATGTTTTCCTGACGTCATGAATTCATTTTTACTAATTCTTTCACTTTTATTTTCTCCTTAGATCTTAAGAATTAAAAAGTGGTTAATCAAATCCAATTAAAATCGCAGCTTATTTGAGTTAACATGAAAGACAAACATATTTTTTGTGAACATTCAGACATTCTGTTATAAAATGAACATAGTGTATTGATTGTTTCTTCTGAGTTTTTAAAAGGGAAAAATTTAAAATACTTTTTTTTTGTAATTTAAATTTTAAAATCCTTTTAACCTGGATGCTGATTGTAGATCATGCATTTGTTTTTATAAGTTGGTGAAACTTGTTGCTGAATTGTTAATTTTGTTTAAAAAGTGATGTAGGTGTCAAAACAAGTTCAACAAATTTTCTTGAGCATTTTTTAGACATCAATAAATGTTTTTATTAGCAATTCAATAATCTTCTAGTGTAACAATTAACCCTAAAACCGTGTCAACAAGGGCAATTCAAAACTTTTTTTTTTTTGGTTGGGCTAGCCTAATTATTAGCATTCTAGGCTGTGGATATTAGATTCCTTGGTTTATGTCCCACTTCACACTTTGGAGCTATGGCTGTATTAAAAGAGCGATGGCCAAATCCCATTCAGGTAGAGTTGCTGGTAACTAGCTGATTTCCTTCCCGCCTATCAGTTCAAAATGAGGGATATGAAGAGACTTTGCAGCACGTGTTCACCTCCAAGAGGTGTTGATGAACCGTGACAGAGGAGTGAGCCATAGTACCCCTACCATCTTATTGATTCGCTTATTTTAAGTGTATCACATTGATGTATGTCATGCATTTGTGTCCAAGATGATCGTATTCTGTATTAACTAACATTTTCTAAATTTACTGGGCTGCAAAACTAAATGAGCTTGCATAACAGGTCACATGGTTGGCCACCTGATACCTGTTGTGCTTGATAGTTAACTCAAATGTCCCATTAACATTATCTGCCAGTATCAGTTGTGTCCTGTCAGAGCTGCAACTTATAAAACCCCAGTTATTTCATAATTGTTCTAACCAATGTATCCTGTGTGTGTGTGTGTGCTGTAGGTAAGTGGTGTTTAAGTACTTTTTATAGTACCCCATTTCTAAACATGAATATTGTTGAGCTCCCTCCCTATAATTTTCCCATGTTAACTATTGTTACTAGTAGTGATATTTGTACAGTGGTTTTTAAAATTTCTATATTTCTGCTTTCAGATAATATAATTTTATATAGTGCTCCTGTACTATAGTCGTAGTTGCATTTCCCTACTGACTTTCTGTTCCCTGCAGTTTGTTTATAATGGTTGTAAATCACTGAAAAGTAGGCTTATCTACGAAGGTTTGTCATGAGAATAATAATGAATGATTTTGAAGTTGGGTTAGTGAATGCCATAAAATCTGAAGGTCTTCAATAACTTACATAATATACTCTGAACAACTGAGAGTATGGCAGCACCTCAGCACCCATTTTCCACATTCCTAGTCACGAACGAACAAAGACTACTTCATAATGGCTGGAGACGGCTTGAATGGGTAATGAAGAAAAACTTTAATATAAGTTTAACATA